GTGGGTATGAGAAGAGGTAGAGGGTGACCTAATAAGTACTGGAGAGAAGTGAGCAGGCAGGACATGACACGACTGCAGATTTTCGAGGACATGGCCCTTGATAGGAAGGTCTGGAGGTCGAGCATTAGGCTTGTAGGCTAGGGGTACGGCTGTTTTGATAGGGTTGTTTTTTGACGGCTAGTAGCTATTGTTGTGTCCACGCTATCCTTTCTATTTTTCATAGCTCCGGGCCTTGGGTACTGGTTATTATTATTGCGTGCCATATATTTTATGGTTTTTATGATGTTGTACTATTTCTGTAGTTTCTGTTAACGATACCAATATTTTGTCTCTTTTTGTTTTATTTCTGTCTTCCTGAACCAAGGGTTTATCAAAAATAGTCTCTCTGCCTCATCGGGGTAAGGGTAAGGTCTGCGTATATACTACCCTTCCCTTACCTCACTTTGTAGAATTTTACTAGGCCGTCGTTATTGTTGTTGTTGTTGTTGTTGATTTAGTTTGATTTTGTAGTCCAAATAATCATATTACAAGAGGTATCTGAAATAGTAATAATTAGTGAAATAAGTGAAAGACAAATTTTTTGAGGACTTAGGAGGCAGATAGGAAAAAGGAAGAGGAGAGGTGAGATTTATTGAACTAGCACTTGAGCATGATAAAAATTTATACGTATCGGGTGTTCATACGAAATCCTTAAATGCATGTCATGTGTTGTATACACACATCTAGCACTTAATCATGGTTGATTAAAATAAATTTTACTTTATTAAATAACCTAACTATCATAAATTAACATGATTTATTGTAAAACCTTGATCATAGTCACCTTAAGAGGCAAAGATTGGATCATAGCATGTGGATTCCGAGGAGGTGAAAATTTTATTTATAACTTTATGCGAGTCCATTAATTTTCATTTACGGTAAATAAGATAATAAAATTTTTCAAAACACGGTCGCCTACGAGAAAGCAAAATTTGTGGCTAACAAATTTTGGCTAAAAAAAGTAATTCCCTAATGCTTTGAGAAGGAAAATAGTATGTGAGAATGTAACGATCCGGTCGTTTGTTCTGAGAGTTATAGCCTCATTTTACCTATCTATGCTTATTTATGTGTTGTTCAGCTGTGTTAAATTGTATCAAGTTGGTAGGGTTGGGTTCAGAGTAGTTTTGGAGTGAAATGAACACTCAGTCTCTTAATTAGAAAGCTAAGTTAGAAAAGTCAACCGGAAGTTGACTTATGAGTAAACGAATTCTGGCTTAGATTTTTATGATTCGATTAGCTTTGTTGGGTGATTTTAGACTTAGGAGTGTGTTCGGAATATAATTTGGAGGTTCGTGGTAGAATTAGGCTTGAATTGGCGAAAGTTGGAAGTTTAGAAATTCTTAGGCTAGAATTCGAGGTTGATTTGGTGTTTTAGTGTTGTTTTCGGTGTTACCGAGGTTCGACTAAGTTCAAGTAGTGATATATGACTTATTGGAATTATTGGTTGAGATCCCGTGGGCCTCAGGTGAGTTTCGAATAGGTTTGGGTTGTGTTGCGCTCGTTTTTCTTATGTTTGAACGTCGTTTCTTTAAGCATAAACGATATCATATTAAACAAATAAGCTCCGATTTCTTTTTTAAATATTAGATTCGTATCGTAGTTACGAACCTGTAGCAAAAAAGAATCGTCGAATTTGGATATCGTATGAGGATTTTATGGTCATTTTACTTAGAATTAGGTTGTCAGATTTTTCAAATTAATTACGAAATTGCCACTAGCAGCGTATTTAAAAATCTGCACTATTTGCAAATATTAAAACCTACATATCTCATTCATTATAAGGTCAAATTGAGTGATTCAAAAGCCTAACTTGACTAGACTTTCACAAGAAATCCATTGAAGGCATAAAATACGAGTTTAGGGATCATTTGGCATGAGAAACGAGGCAGAATAGCTGGCAGAAAAATATATAAAATTAAGGTTTGTTCATTCAGTCATATTTTGAGTTGGGGAGCTCGTCACTACTGCTCAGTTCCTTAGTTATTTATGTTACTACTGAGTCGGTTGTACTCATACTACACCTTGCTTTATGTGCTAATTCAGGTGAGTTAGAGCACGACGATCGTTGAGTTCAGGCCGACTATCTGTGGAGATTGCAAGGTAGCTGCTAATTTCGCAGGACTTTGTTATTCCTTTTGTCATTTCTTCTTTTGGACAGTTAGACAGTTTATATATCTTAGTTTATAGTTTTAGACGCTCATGACTTAGTGACACCCCGATATTTGGGGCTCGTTTTCGTATTTTATATTGATTATATTTGGAGTTGATTTAGTTTATGAGATGTTTAAATGTTGGTATAATTTTATTAAATCCTTAAAATTAATTAGTAGTAATATTTTGGGAAGTAGGCTTGCCTGGTAACACGATAGGCGTCATCACAACCATGGTTTTATTTTAGGTTGTGACAAGTTGGTATCAGAGCCTAGGTTACATAGGTCTCATGAGTCATGAGCGGGTTTAGTAGAGTCTTGCCACTAGCAGCGTATTTAAAAATCTACATTATTTGCAAATATTAAAACCTACATATCTCATTCATTATAAGGTCAAATTGAGTGATTCAAAAGCCTAACTTGACTAGAATTTCACAAGGCATCCATTGGAGGCATAAAATATGAGTTTTGGGGATCATTTGGCACGAGAAATGAGGCAGAATAGCTGGTAGAAAAATATATAAAATTAGGGTTTGTTCATTCGGGCATATTTTGAGTTGGAGAGCACGGATTTGGGAGATGTTGGAGGCGATTTTCATCATATGTATTGGGGTAGGTTTTATCTACTCGGTTTTATTTATATTTCATGAATCCATCATCGTTTTTTGGATTTGATTGATGATTTCAAAGTAAAATTGAGGGAACGAGATTGAGTTTTGTAGAGTTTTAAGTGAGGATTTGAGAGACCAAACGAAATCCGATTTTGACAAATTTTATATGGTTAGACTCGGGAGAGGACGAGGATTATTATTCCGCTATTTTTGATTGATTCCAAAATGTGTTCCCAGGGGCCGGGATTTGGCCGATTTCGAATTTTTGGTATATTTAATAGTTTTTATTGTGGAATTCGATTCTTTAGTATATGTTGATGGTACTAAACTGATTATAGTTAGATTCGGAACTTTTGGAGACCAAGTCTGGAGACGAGGGCATCCTGAAGTGGGATTTTATGCTGTTGAGGTAAGTAACAGTTTTAACTCTGGCCTTGAGGGTACTGGAGAATTTGATATCATGTGATTGTTTGGTGGTGATACCCACGCTAGGTGATGGGCGTGTGGGTGTGCACCGCGAGGGATTGAGACTTGGTCCGCCCCGTGAAGCCGTGAGGCCTAATGACTATTATCTGTGGTTATGTGTTTACTTGTTGCTGAACTTGTTTGCCTTCATGTTAGAGATCATGCTTATGCTTTATTCATGCCCACATTATTTGTACTTAGTCATAGAAATTATTGTACATGTTTACCTCAATCTCTATTATTTGCTAATATGTTATGATACTTGATGTGGGCTGTGTCCCCTTATTTGTAGATGATAGTGAGGCTAGTGAGGTACATGATTGAGTGAGACCGAGGGCCTGGTTGTGAGGATATTAATATCATATCGCGTGAGTTGTCCGCGTAGCACATGAATTGACCGTGCTAGTTCAGGTATTTATACCATAGCGCGTGAGTTGTCCGCGTAGCATGTGAGTTGACTATCCGGATCCAGGTATTGATATGATGGCCTGGTTGTGAGGATATTAATACCATAGCGCGTGAGTTGTCCGCGTAGCACGTGAGTTGACCGTGCGGGTCTAGGTATTTATACCATAGTGCGTGAGTTGTTCGCGTAACACGTGAGTTGACCGTGCGAATCTAGGTATTGATATGGTAGCACGTGAGTTTTCCGTGCTTAGCGCTTGGGCTTTAGAAGCCCCTCTGGAGTCTGTACACACACCCAGTGATCGTAGAGTGTTGAGTGTTGAGTGTTGAGTGCGATTGCTGAGTGATGGACTGACATTGCTGTGAGGTAGCATTTTCTTTTTCTATTGCTGCATTTATCTGTTAATTTCTTTCTGGCATTTACTGAGTTATAAAATTTACATGTTTATTCCTGTTATTTTTAAAATTATGAAAAATAAATAATTGGACTGTTTTGCTTAGCTCGTCACTACTGCTCAGTTCCTTAGTTATTTATGTTACTACTGAGTCGATTGTACTCATACTACACCCTGCACTTTATGTGCAGATTCAGGTGAGTTAGAGCGCGATGATCGTTGAGTTCAGGCCGGCTATTTGTGGAGATTGCAAGGTAGCTGCTAATTTCGCAGGACCTTGTTATTCCTTTTGTCATTTCTTCTTTTGGACAGTTAGACAATTTATATATCTTAGTTTATAGTTTTAGACGCTCATGACTTAGTGACACCCCGATATTTGGGGCTCGTTTCGGTATTTTATAGTATTAATTATATTTGGAGTTGATTTAGTTTATGAGAAATTTAATTGTTGGTATTATTTTATTAAATCCTTAAAATTAATTAGTAGTAATATTTTGGAAAGTAGGCTTGCCTTGTAACACGATAGACGTCATCATGACCATAGTTAGATTTTGGGTCGTGACAGAGAAACAACAGAGAGAGTGTTCGATGTTTCAATAAAGTGTGCAAATTAAAAGATAGGGTTTCTCTTTTGGTTTATAGTAGTCTCTTGATTATTTTACTCAGAGCTATCAAATGTCGAATTCCTTACTATAGTACTATTACTTTATTCTCCTTGTGTCGTAATTTTTCTCTTGTTGAAAAATGTTTTTTGTGATTAATTGTGATGATTGAACCCGTTGCGCTGAGGCTATATGCACCATTATATAGTATTATTCTTTCTAATTGGAGAGTTAAATAATTTTTCTTAAGATGTGTTTTGAAGCATCTGCTAACTCGCAAGTCATAAATCGAGACGTGAAAATAATCTCTTAGAAAAAAATAAAAGGGGAATATAAAGATAATGATTTTGTTGTTGAATGAAAGACGTTAAATTAAGACAGGAAATTAAAGAGTTTCAGTACACAAAGGGACTAGAACATGTGCCATCATGTTTGCCTAACGGTATAAACCTGTGAATAAACCTGCAATCATTCAACAAATGTAAATAAGGTGCATTTATGAAATTGAAGAAATTTAGTGGTCGTTTGGACACAAGAATTGTAAAATTCTAAAAAAAAGTGATTTTTTTAAAAGTGACAATAGTATTTAAAAATTAGAGTTGAGTTTGGACATGATTATAATTTTGGGTTGTTTTTGAATTTTTTGATGAGTGATCTGAGTGAAATTTTTGAAAAAATAACTTTTTAGAGTTTTTCAGAATTTCGAAAAATTTTAAAATTCATTTTCAAGTAAAAATAAAAAGTTTTATGGTCAAACATTGATTTCGAAAAAAATAAAAAAATTTCGAGAAAAGTAAAAAAATTCTTATGTCCAAACGGGCTCTTAGATTAATCAATACTTGAAAATTTGTACCTTCCCCTGTATCCACATTTGTTGAAGAGTTAATGCATGATCCAAGCTCATATTACAATAGTATAATTTATAACATCTTGTTAAAAATAACCCCTTGATTGATAAGTGGCCAAAAAGCAATTTATTCTCATAAATGACCATGCTTAAGCTTGAGATTCAATTTCTCTATTGCTTTGTGTTGGGCCCTCTACTCTTTTCCATCTGATCAACAATGTCAATAGAAATAAGCCAGAAGCTTGGCAAGCTAGACCACATATCAAGCCCACCCATAAACCCTGCAATACAATTTTTTTTTAATTTTTTTTTTTTAAAAAAATTAACACTTTAATCAATTTACTATACCTCAATTCCATATTCATTGCCATTAAATATATTAACCAAAAGTTTGTAGAAAAACAACATGATATGAGCAAGGATGAAGCATGCACTGATCACGTTTAAATTCTGAATTCGTCTCAGGATATGAAAATGCACAAATAAAGCATGGTTGTGCTTGAATTACCTGACCCTGTAGTTTGTACTTGAAAGCAAGGACGACTGCTATTGGCATGCCGATGGCATAAAATGTTGCGAAGTTGATGCACATAGCCCAACGTTGCCACCCGCATCCCCTAGCCACCCCTGATCAATTCAATTACAATTTTATCGGGTTTAAATCCTAAATCTGTCGGATATCATAAAAATTATATAAATAAAATTCTGACCTGATAAAATTCCTTGAAAGAAATCGAATACGAAGGATATTAACAAGAGAGGCGTCATGGCGGCAAATTTACTAATTATCTCCGCGCTATCACTGAAGAGACTAGCCCAGGCATTATGACCAAAAAATAGAGCCAAATCAACTATAAGAGCAAGAATAATAGATAGCTTGAGTGTAACAGCCATAGCATGTTTTGCTTTGTCTGGATTTCCAGCTCCTAACTCATTTGCCACCCTAGTGCTGCAAATATATATTTGAATACACATTAATTTAGCATCAAAATTGAGGGATAACAAAGAGAAGATTTAACTTACATACATTTATAGTACTGTATATAATTGTTACATTATATATGTATGTTTACTTGTTGTAGCAAGTCACACTCATCTTTTTTGTAACTAATCTAACAAATCACAGATAGATTACCTGTAATTATTTCTTATGTAACATCAAAAAAATGCCCGGTGCACTATGCTTCCGCTATGAGCGGGATCCGGGCAATGGCATAGCTACCCTATATCAAGGGTGGTCAAGCGCACCCTTCACTGAAAAATTATAATGTGTGTATAAGTTAAATACTACTTTATATGGTTATATAGTATATTTTTATTAGCAAAAATATATATTATATTTTGAACACTCTTAACATATTTGAGTGCGGCAGTCCAGCAGTTCAGGGTGTTCAAAAGTGATATGTTGTTCTCGAGTTCAAAGTTCTGCCCATTTTGTTTGCCAAAACTAAATGGAGACCACCATGTGGTCTATTTGATTCTTTTTCAATCTAAAAGATTTGTCAATAAAATAACTCTTAAACTTAAAATTTTTGTAAAAATAAACTACTAATCTTAAAAGTAATTTTAACTAAAAGTTATTTCTTAAATAAATTTTATAATTTAAAAGTCAAGTTCTACAAAAATTTCTTCAACAAAAGCTCTTTATAAACTATAAATCCTCTCGATTCTCCCTTTCCTTTTTATTCGTAAAATTTCTAATATTGTCTTTTTGTTTTTTTATTTTTGATTTATAAAATTATAGTTGTATTAATTTTTTAAAAATATTTAGCTAAATGTTGCGTAGTCTGGTTTAAAAATTTTGGTGTACCATTCATCGACAAAAACAAATAAAATTATTGACTTGTTTAAAGTTTGAACACCCTTGGCGGTATTCCTGGCTACGCCACTGGGTCCAGGGAAGAGCCGAACCATAAGGGTCTGTTGTATGCAACCTTACCCTACATTTCTACAAGAGGTTGTTTTCACTGCTTGAACCCATAACCTCTCGGTCACATGCAGAGGCGGAGCTAGGATTTCACGCTTATGGGTTCGGGATTCTAATCGTTTTAAGTTACTGGGTTCTAAATTAATAATTTATACATATTCAATGGATTTTTTAAGACAAATACAGTGTTTGAACCAAAACTACTGAATTCGGCCGAACCCATTGGCGGCACTCTAGCTCCGCCTCTGGTCACATGGCAACAACTTTACCAGTTATATCAAAGCTCCCCTTCAGTTATACTAGTGTATAAATGAAAAAAATTCTTCCACGGGATAGTGTATAAAAATTAAACTCATAAATCATACTAAGTATTAGTTATTTACCTTGCAGCTGCACTCAGACCATAAGATATCATGTAGGCGATGGTTTCAGTATTTACACTGAGAAATCACAACCAAAAGAATGTCAGTTAGACTATGATTTAGCTTTCCAAACTGTGAAAATGTGATTATTTTAAAGCAAAGAAGCTTAATTAATTACCTCATTGCAACTACAGAAGTAGTTGTTTCTGAGTTTTTCATCAAACCAGCCATTAACACAAGAAGCTCAAAAGCCCAGTACTCCAAACTGTGTATACATCAAAATAAGAAAAATTATAGTTAGAAATATGAGCAAGGGCAGACCTATAGTTTTGAATATTGGTTCAATTTAATCCACCATTTTTGGCTTATACTACGAATATATTGTAGAAACGATACCAGATAGCCACTTTAATGGGCTGCTATTTAAGAATTAGTCAGTGCGTCCTGAATTATAGTTTTTCAGTTTAAATTTTTGGGATAAAAATTGCTGAATTGTCCGGAAGTTAAGATTTCTAGTGTAAAATTTCAGGACAACATAAGTACTGCCTAATCTCTAAATAGCATCCTTGAGAACGACTATCTATGCACTTGCTCCGAGTATATTTGTGAAATATCTTGAAAATTATTATAAGGATTTGAGCCCGGAAATGGAGAAGCCCTAATAAGGAGCGCTTCTCCCTTTAACGAGCCTATAGTATCCGCCCCAGAATATGAGGTTACTCACCAGACCATGGCAGCAGAGGGCAACGCCAATTTCAAGTTCGTAAAGATATGGCGAAATGGCTCTAATGAGAAACCATCCCAAATATGGTTGAATCTACTCGATAAAAACACGTACAGACCTAACATGAGGACTGCAATCCAGATAGAAATTGAAGCTGCTAATGATGCTCCTTTAAAAGCAAGACCAGTCCAATGAACCAAGGCATAGGCAATACCAATATGGATAACTAAAGTTCCCACTGAACACACGACGAGAGGTAGGATAATTAACTGCGTCTGAAGAAACCTCACTATGTTTTGCAATACACCATATGCAAACAATCCAGGCATGAGAAATTTCAAGAACACCCCTGCTTCTTTAGCGATTTCAGGATCTTGACGAAGTAAAATAAGAATCATATCAGAATACCACCATATAACAGCAATCACTATTGAAAAGAAGAATGATATGATGCATGATGTCTGCAGATGTATTCCCAACATCCTGTACATTCCTGCTCCGAATCCTTGGCCGCATAATGTCTCGAGTGCACCACTTAGTCCAACCTAGATTATTAGTTAACAAGTTTAGAATATTTTTCCCCAACAAAATACATGTTTAGCAAGTAATCAGCGCATACTATTAAGTATGGCAGTTGTAATTGTTATTAGATAGTAGCCAAGCCAGGAATTTCCCTAAGGGGATTCAAGATTTAATATACATATATAAAAAGTAATTTTTGATTTATCTACGTAGTATAATTTTTTATATACAACAACAACAATGGTCAGTATAATCCCATTATCCCACAAGTGGAGTCTGAGAGGGTAGTGTGTACGCAGACCTTAACCCTACTCTTTGGGTAGCGAGGTTGTTTTGGATAGACGCTTAGTACAAGAAGATGAAATGAGACAATAGAACATTAACAACAACATACACCAGAAAGATAGTACCAGCGAGTTAAAATCAAAAAAAATAAATGGAAAAGTAATATCAATAATGAGCACATACTATTAAGTATGGAAGTTGTAACTGTTATTAGGCAGTAGCGAAGCGAGGAATTTCCCTAAGGATGTTCAAGATTTAATATACATATATAAAAAGTAATTTTTGATTTATTTATGCAGCATAATTTTTTATATACAACAACAACAACAACAACAACAACAACAACAACAACAACAATAATAACAATAACAACAAACCCAGTATAATCCCACCAGTGGGGTCTGGGGAGAGTAGTGTGTACGCAGACCTTACGCCTACCCTAGGTGTAGAGAGGTTGTTTTCGATAGACGCTCAGTACAAGAAGATGAAATGAGATAATAGAACAGTAACAACAACATACGCTAGAAAGATAGTACCAGCGAACTAAAATTAGAAAAATAAATGAAAAAAGCAATATCAATAATCAGTACAATGGCAACAAAAAATCAAGTGTTCAACTGACCACCCTTTATTGTACGTGGCTAAGCCACTCTTATTAGGAGAGAATTAGATGCATACCATGAAAGAGAAACCAGAGACCATAGCCCAAGAATTACCAAGATTTGAGGCAGCAAGTTCAAGTTTGCCAAGATGACCAGCAAACATAACAGAAACAAGATTGATGAAATATATGCTACCATTCACAACAATCATAGGTAACGAAAACAATATCTGATTCTTCGCTTCCTTTACATCTATTATCTTATTCCACCACTTCTGTTTTGTTATCGCGGCCGCCACCATTTCTTCGCCGCCAGATAATACTGGCGGCGGTAACTCAGGACTTCTCACATTTGAGGAGTTATCTATAGCCATTGTTTTTGCTTCTTAGTATGTGCATTCGGTATTTTTTACGTGCCAAATCACTGTTTTTCCTGTGTTTTAATTTCTTATACTATACCCTAGTCTTAAAGCTCAACAAAAGTATAGATTGGTGGAAAATGAGAATGATTTTGAGTTCTAAGTCTCAACTCTTTTAGTTCTAAGAGAGAAACAAGAAGTAATTGATAGTTAGTGTGTGAGAAAGAAAAATATTACTATGTGAGAAAAAGTAATGTTTAATTAACGAGATTCATTTGAAGAGGCAAAGATTGTGGATCTTGCATCTGGATAAGGACAAATGGCCGTTAATATCGTTTAGACCAACCTCAATACTAGCTATATATGTGAAGTCCATCCCATTCTAGATTTGGTAATAACCACATGCATGTAGAAATTACTCGGCTGAATAAATCGACAACCCCTTAAGTTTGTCGACATATTTTATTTAGGCAGTCGAATTAAGGCTTATTCCAATTGAGCACCTAAAGTCATGATAAGTTTTCCTATTAAATACTTCTAAATGCTTCCGAAACTCAAACCTTTGAAAAGATTTTGCGTGTGCTCTCACGCGCTCATTACGGGGATAAATTAACTACTTAAAATATATCTGTATAGGGTAAAAATATGATATGCTAAGTAATTGCATAAAAGAGCGACAGGAGCTGAAGGCAGAGGATAGCTAAAACCAGACAATTGTTCCATTTGTTATCGGAAAGAATGATGCTCATAAAGACGCAATAAATGTCTGTCACCCGATAGCATTTAATGAAGAATATTCTACATCATTTAATACACTGTCCGTTATAAAGAATTTGTTATTTATGATCACTATTACACATTTTTAAATGGCCCTCATAATTGATATTAAAGAAGGGCGTGATCCTAGGACCTTGTTCTCTAGGTGCAGCTATAAATAGTGAGCTCTGTTATCATTGTAAAGGACACGATTTTCTGGCAAACTGACGCTATAATCAATTTAAAGCTTTATATAATTTTGCCTTCATACTTTTTGATTTCATTATTGTTATGCCTGGAAGCCTTGCTCCCGGAATTACTGATCTCGTCTTCATATCAGGGTTAAGTATTGCATATTTCTTCAATTCTTGTATTATTTCAGGATTGAATTAATTCACTTGTCTAGAAACTAATATTTTAAAAGGCAAGGGCATGAGGCGAGGCGTTTTACCTCTAATGAGGCGAAGCGTAAGCCCTAAGATATAGGGTATAAGTCCTCGGCAACGGCGCCAAAAACTTGTTGCGGCCAAACGCACACGCAAGTATACGCGGTCGTCAAGTAATAAAGTGACTAAAAGTCGGATGTCGAACCCACGAGGACTTGTGATTAACTATTAACTAAATTAGAATATCCTAGTTATCTAAACAAGAATTAAACCTAGAAATATTCGATTCTAAACTAATTAAATAAAGAAATATAAATAATGAACTTTGAATAGAGAAAAAGAGCAGACTTTTATGATACCAGTGTAATGAAAACGATCTACGGTCATGGGCTATCTAACATTCCTACTGTATTCTTCAATTGAATTGACTAACTAATTTATCTAGTTTATTGGTTGACAGGGTTAATATTGCTCATAAGAATCTGTCGAGTTCTTACTCGCCTATTCAAGCTAACCTAACGCCTATATGTCTATGGAGTTAGAATCAACAAGAACGCATTTATAATTCCTGTAAATCAACCAAGCAAGGCAATTAGGTATATGTNTCTTACTCGCCTATTCAAGCTAACCTAACGCCTATATGTCTATGGAGTTAGAATCAACAAGAACGCATTTATAATTCCTGTAAATCAACCAAGCAAGACAATTAGGTATATGTCTATTCTAACCGCTAATCCGTTCCCCATGCCCTGGTTCAAGAACTTACTCTACTCAATCCTATATGCAATCTAGAATTCCCACTTTCGAGTTCAACTCTAGATTCATAGATAGTATTTAATTGGTGATAAAGCAATCAAATAATTAAGTTCAGGATTGAATAAATAAACCAATACGATAAATCAATAAATTAAAATCAATATTCGAATAACAATAGTCATGAAAGAACCACAACCCTAGAACGTAGAATTTAGCTCCACATAGACATGGTAGCAAAACAACAAATCATACAAAGAAACATAAAAATTACTAAGTTTGGTGGAAGAAAGATGGATCTTGATGAATTCCGGCCTCCACGGCGGCTCTGTGCTTGTGTTTTACTCTCAAAAAATATGTTTAGTCTTGCTTTTATACATGTTGGGTAGGTCTAGGGCCGAAATAACCTTGTCCCGGCGAAATTGAAAAAAATTCACGTCACCCCACGGCACTCCAATATTTTTAGCTACTATTTTTGGCGCCACAGGTAGGGTGGCGCCCAAATTCGCAAGTTTTCTGGCTTCGTTCGTTTTGGCTCAAATCTTGTGCGTTTCGCCCCCAATTGCTTCTGAATCATTCCTACACATAAAAACACTTCAAATTAATATAAATCATAGCATTTAACATTCCAAATTCACGAAATAAAAGTAAAATATGAGGCGATATACATAGAAATATATATGCTTTAAGCTAAACATCAACACCCCACACTTAGACTCTTGCTCATCCTCGAGCAATGGGACAATCTACTACCCTCCAACACGTACAAAGCCTCAATTATAGAGGAGCACCTTAACTTTTAACCACACACTATATCCTTGACTGTGATCAATACCGAAACACAAGCATGAACACACAAATTTCACATTCTTCTCGTTTAAGCATGCCCAAGTATAATGTTTCAATTCAATCAATTCCAACAACCTATTTGTCACCACCCAACCTCAAAAGCCGACTTGTAACCCTTAAGCACCCTCATTCATGTACTCACCCAACAAGAGAGTTTACAATATTACCAATCATTCATGAGATCATGTGCCCTCACCAACAAACAAAGAGTGAAGATAGATTAGTCCACACATTCAAATGTGCTTTTGAATATAGATTAAGGACATCACACAATTGAACAAAATATGCTCACTCTCACAAAGAATTCATATACATCATGTGATCGTACCATAAGCTTGCCCGTAGTGTAGATCTCCACTAATTTAAGCTAGCCAAATCTAGGATCAATTAGGACTTTAAGGTTGTAATGTAGGCTAAGGGACGGGCATGATATATTTAGAAAAGTGACTAACCCTCCTAAGGACTTTAATACACTAGATTCATAATTCAAACACATATTCTTCTCAACCAATTCACTTGCCACAAACCATATGCACATAGCCCTTACTTTCATTAAGCACTTCTATACTCCCACTAGTACAAATTATTAAGAATTGGAGGTGTGAACTTTTTTTTACATACTTTAACTATCATTTTTTCTTTTCTTTTTCTTTCTTCACACACTTCATACATTAAAGTTCATCGGCTAGTGACTTTTGATTTCAACTTTTAGTGCACCAACGGGCCCTTCCATGGTTCCACTCAAAAACTACTCCCCAATATCTCACCTTACTTCTTTTAGCGACTAAGTGCCTTAGGAGGTAAAGGTTCAATCTATATCAAATTAAGAAAAAAAATGGGAATATGACTTGTAATGTGGTTGCCAAAGAAAAAGTCTATAGGCTCAAAGGGGCTAGCAACGGAATTTTTTTATGTGACAAGCACATCTATGATCAAGCAAGAGAATGCCTACGTCATCTTCTAGATTAGCACAACCTACAATGTCGCTTCAATTAACACACGGGACAAGTTCTAGACTACACAGGATAGCACAGAAAACCACACACGTTGCACATGACTCAATCACAACGGTTTTATTCAACTCTCAAGTCAAGCAAGCACACATAATTGAGAAAATTAAGCAATATTACACTAAGTGGCATACAAGTCAAACAACTGAGCTAAGGCATCACAAAATAGGCTATTTACTTTACTTAGACGTCACAATTCAAACAAAATACACGGGAAAACAGAATGTATGTCATAGCCTAATGTGCCAGCATCAACCATGTCAATGAGTATCTCAGAGCGACTCAGTTTCTTCCTAAACTACTCCTAACAAAAAAAAATTAAAGTACCCGGTTTGAGCTACATCCTTGGAAAAGAACCAGTGCTCAAAGAAAAACCAAGGGATACTACCTAACTATCCTAATTTTTTTGGTGTTTTTAATCGAACTTTTATCCCTCAAGAAAATTGTCCAAAAGATCAATTGTCGAGAAAAGTCCGAAATTTTTCTAAATTGTTTTTTTCAATTTTCATTTTTTTACCTAGACTATGTCTACTACGAGTTCTAAAAGAAAAACTAAATAAAAAAATAGTTTTATACAATTATACTTCAGAAAGTAGTTTTCCCACCCCACACTTATGTTATGCATAGTCCTCGATGCATGATCATAGAGAAAAATATTAAAACAAGGGTGAGAAATACTCCCTGAGGCCCTCTCGGGCCTAGCTCAGACATGATCCTCAATATTAAGGGTCGGGGCGACCCCACACTTAAGCTCAAACAGGCTCCTCAGCTTCAACTTCGGGTACTCAGACTTTCCCTACTCTGCAAAACAAAAACAACACGAAACTTGACACTAGATATAAAAAAAATACAGGCTGGGTTGCCTCCCAACAAGCGCCTTATTTATAGTCGTGGCACGACTTGAACCACTTTTTCCTCCACCTCGAACTTATGAATTGTACTCCTAACATGGCATCCAGTCTGCGGCTATGCTCCAGTGGTGGAGCTACAACGATAACCAGGCCAAGTAATAAATTTTTCACTCTACACTTCTCGGCCTTTAGATGAGGAATGTAATTTTTGCTTTTTGGCACAACAAATTCAAGAATGTAGGCACTCTCATCCTCACTCTTTGACCCCCTCATTGGCTCAGATGGCTCGATTACTATCTTACTATTTAAACACAATGTGAAAAATGACTGGAATGAGGTCTAATGCGCCCTAACTCATGAATTTACTACTATTTGCATCCCCGTATTTACATATACTAGAGTCTCCCAAAGTAATGTTATCTACTCCCTCATATGACTCTAGAGCACTCTTCTCAACATTAGCATCCTCAAGAAAAACATGGTCTAATGATTGGTATTCTCGTTTTAGCTCCTCAATTTGGTCTAGAAGATGTTTTTCAGCTTCACACAACTCATTATTAGATTGTTGGGTGTTACACGCATCACCCTTTGCA